TTGGAAGGAACAATAGCGCAAATACAGCAAAATCTGGTGAGGAACAATGCGGAACTTAAGAAAAGGCAGGATCTAATTGATACCAAAGTCAACACATTGGAAAGTCGTTTCCGGGAATTGCAGTTAAATCGTCCAACCGCTTCAGTGAACGCTCCGAAAGTAAAAACACCATCTTTTGACGGGAAAATCCCATTTCAAGTTTTTAAGCTCCAATTTGAGAAGACAGCTGAAACAAACAACTGGAGCATAGAGGAAAAATCCGCTGCACTATTCGTTGCGTTGGAAGGACCTGCAGCCGAACTTTTGCAAACCATATCCGTAAACGAGAGAAATGATTACGACGGATTGATGGGCGCCCTGGAAAGACGCTATGGTAGCGAAGACAGATTTACCAGATGGAGTTAGAAAAGCGCGACCAAAAATTCAACGAATCTCTGCAGAAATATGCTTCGGAAGTTGAGAGATTGGCTAATTTAGTCATTGGAGACACATCGGGTGAGCATATTGAAAGGGTGAAGATACAAAGATTCATCAGCGGAATAAAAGACGTGTACACCAAGCGAGAGGCATACGCGAATCCAAAGTTAACATTCGCTGAAACTGTTGCGTATGCACAAACACGTGAAACGGCGGCACTCATAAGCAGACCATAATACAAGGTCAATAAAGTGGAGGTTGAAACACCAGATGTGATGACGGTAATATTGAGAACTCTGAAATCGCTAGAAGGGATGAATCGTTCTGGTTTCAAGACTCAAGCGGGAAAATGCTTTAAATGTGGAAAGCCTGGTCACTTCAAACGCGAATGCAAAACAAGTTCCAGCAGACAGGAGGTACAGCGAAAACGGAAGGCAGAGGAAGATGAACCATCAACTTCTCAATCGTTAAACTAAAACGAGCCAGTCTAAAGGGGCGTAAGCTGGCTTCTGCAATTGAATGCCACACAATTTCCGTATCGCAAATTGGCAGAAAACAAAATATTCTACACCGGACATATTTATTGGTAAAACCCTAGCTAAGACGAAAAATAACGGACGCATTCCAGTGAGAGTGTTAAATGACTTCAGATCACCAGTAAAAATTCCTGGAGGGACTATATTAGGGCAATTGTCAAGAAGTGGAAGCCACCATCAATGATTCATCGGAAAACGACTCCATTAGCAGGAAGGACATGAAGGAAGAAATAAATGTTTGGACGCAAGGGTTGGGAGACAAGTACAAGCACAAGGCCAGCCAACTTATCCGCAAATGCCTAGCGATTTAAAATTCGGAATAACTGGCGATACAAGAAGAATTGGGAAGGTAACGTCTACCGATCTCGAGGAAAAGCTAAGAGAGGTACATGCTCTTGTGAGACAGCGAACTCAAATTATGAGTGACAAAATGAAGGCCAGGTATGACAAGGCGATGAACTCCGGAGGGTTTCCAAAATGGAGATTTGGTGTTGCTGTACGATTCACAACGGAAGAGGGGTTTGTCCCCAAAACTTCAATGTAATTGGGAAGGTCCATACAAGATAATCAAACGACCTAACGACGTAGTGTATCGAATCCAAACCGTTGGGATGCCAAGAAACTAGATGAAAGTGGTCCACCTAGAGAGGCTTGCTGAGTTTGGAATAGCGAATGTGTATAATACTAATAGCACCATTCAACATCTCTAATTAAATGTAACTCCTTTTTGAAATTTAGTTTTAAGCTAAGAAGTGTTCATGTGCACATGGGAATTGAATAACGAGATCTTTTACGTGAATATGTTTAACTACACTAGAACAGTTATTGCTCCGATGTCAGCCACTGCAGGTGTTGTGGCTCATGTGTACCTACTAAACATGGTACTGGAAGTATACCGGTACTTGAGTATACCGATGATTGCTATCTGCAACGCACAATAACGTTTATAGATACTGTTAGTATCTCACTAAATTTATACTGCAGGATGGACATATATATGTATATATAAATTTGTTTAAACAACTTATAACATGATATGCACATATGATAATCTTAACGGAAATTCAAAGATCACATTTTTAAATAAAATAACATGCAACAAATGTATCGATATAGCAAATTTTCGCCATTAACTTATGTATGATAGATAATTAGGAATAGAATTATATATCTGATATATAAAACCTTTTTAAGCAATAGTCGTAAAATTTACTTAGTACTTCTGGCAAATAATTATATTGAAATCGAATACCATATTAATTAAAGCTTATGCTGTTCAATAATTGCTAATTTATAAGCTTAAACTCTAGAATTTACCGTGCTGTACGCCGTGCTGTACGCCATGTGTATGTGTATGTTTACATTATAGCTCCTTTCAGTTGCATATTACTGTTTACTCATTTCATCTGTATGAAAACAATTGTCAAATTAATTATATATTTAAATAATATGTGTTAAATAAGCTTACCTTTGTCATGTGGTGAGAAAGATATGATAGTTTATCATTTACCAAACCGCCTACACTACGCACTTCTAATCGGGATACAAATAATCTTGAAGTATATTTTGGAAAGCGATTTTAATTTTACCACGATCTCGCCCGTTCAATTTTTGTATATCGGGTAGTAAACTCATTAGAAACATTGCATCAGAATCTGTTTTACAATCACATAATTCAACATGCCCTGATGACGGTGCCACAGCCGGTAATGCTGATGTAGTTGTATTAGCTTTATTAATTAATGTATGCGTCGTACCGCTTGATGAGCCAGCGATAGTTGTACTCATACCAGCTCCATTACAGGAGCCTGATGCAATAGCTGCAATCTCTAAACGATGATGAGTACCAGCACTACCGGCACTAACAGTGCCCCCGATATGATGATTATAGTTGTGAATGTGATGACTAGAGCTCGAGTGACGTTGATTTATAGAATTGGCAGAAGTTGTTGCCACTTGATTAGCAGCACTTGATGTGCTAATTACATCCGCATCATTATTTACGGTACTAGGACCAGAGCCACCGCCTACGCTAAGTCCAATAGTACCATTATTACTTGTGGTAGTACTAACCAATTCCATGGGTTTCGCTGGTGTTGGTCGCACAAATGATACGTTAGCGTGCACCGATGCAGAACTAGTTGTTGTATTATGCGTGCGTGCTTGAGCACCAATTCCATGCGCTAAAGGCATGCTGTTGTGTGCCGTATTAAGTATACCACTTGCTGAGGAACTGGCAGCATTACCGTCAGCTACGCTACTACCACCACTAATAGCATGTGTACTACTTATGCTTTCTTGTGAACGTGGTCGTTTAATACGCGGCTCATCTTGATATGCACGTACTTGCAAACGCACTAGTTGCTGCATACGCCATTGCGAACGTCTGTCCTCCAATGGCACTGGTGTGGTGCTGTGGCTGGCATAAGAATCCATCATGAAGTTACGCATTTCCATCTCTTCCAATTCATTATCTTCTTCTTCACGACGCATGACAATTTCAGGTTCATAATCATCAACATCCGATTTAACATCATCACATTCGGATTTAATATCATTGCGTAGTACATGGTTATGTTCTTCCGATTTATGCCGAAAACGTGCAACATGCTCATCATCGATAACATCCTCTAAATCGTCCGAGTTATTTTGTTCAGCTTCATCAAAATATTCTAGATAATTGTCACTTGGCTGTTGATACGCCTGTTGTGCGTGCATATGTGAAGAATGCACGTCGCCACTAATGGCGGCCGCTGCATTTGCTGCTACAGCTGCTGTTCGTTCTCGTTGTAAACGATCTGATAAAGAACTGATGCGTACTAGAGCATCTTGAACTTGCGAGTCTAGCGATTTAGGCTGTGAATGTTTTCTGTTTGTAAAACAAATAAAAATGTTAAGCAGAATCACATAAAACAGTTTGAAAAAATTTTCCAATGAAGTTATTGGTTACACTAGTTTCAATTTTACACGAGATCTTAAAGTACTTGAAAACGAAGTGTGATGTTCGAATTAAAGTTAAAAAAAAAAAAAACCGAATAACCAACTAATATTGTACTCTTTTTTTGTTTGTATTTTATTACTTACTTCCTTAAATATGGATGTAGGAAAAACATACGGTCAAAGTATGTCCAACAAGGGGGCACTTTTTCTTCCAAATAATTTGTGTATTCTCGCCGAAAGGAAATACGTAAATTCGTCCATTTTGCTAAACTAGCGCCAGCTGCAATCGATTATTACGTTTTACCCCAAGTACAACAACTACGTAATTTTAGTATACTTACGATTTTTTTCTAGCTTCTGATCAACTTCACGCCAGAAATTCTCGACATATGGCCGACAAAAGTAATATTTGTGACGAGGATTATAAATTGCTTCATCATGTTGCACCATATCGATAAGTTTAAACACTTCCTCTGTCAACCAGCGTGATGATGAGCAGGAAGCCGTTCCAGCTATATTACCATAAAAATCATTCGCCATTATTTTTGATTATTTACTGCACAATTCAAACACATTGATATTAATGTTTTGCATACAAAAAATTCATAAGTATTAGATACTAGTTATCTATAAATAATTTCAATTATATTGAAAACTAATTTTTCACATCTAACTAGAAATAACTGAAGTAATGGCTAATGGTTGCCCATTGTACAATGTGTGGTCGTTAGCCAAATTCCGGCAAATTTTTGCAGAAAATGAACTAAAAGCGGGAATGTGTAAAAAAGCGAAATACAGTGAAAAACAAAATCAAAAAATTTTTTTGTCGCCAGACCGTTAAAATTACCTTAAACTTCATTACAAAATTTTGTACCAATATACGATAATTAAAGAATTTGCTGTAACATAATCGTAGGTTATAATTTAATTCTTTAAATATAATTTACTTTTTACCTTTAATTGGTTTCAAAACTACACAAGTTTTAAAAAAAATTTACTTTTCCATAATCCGGCAGAGGTCGCATATCTTCGAAACCAGCTGACGTTCTTTTCCTTTTGACGTTTGGCGCCAAAACAAGCGTTTTTCAGTCACTTTTTGAGCGGAATTTGGCAAAAAATTCATTCGAAAAATTATCATCGTGTCGCTTGGTTGTGAAATCCGCTGTTGAATATTTATTAAAACCTCTTAAAAGCTAGTGTTGTTCAATTGTTTTCCATTCAGAAATAGACAAGAAAATGTTTGAAGCACGCCTGAACAATGCAACCACACTCAAGAAAATCTTGGATGCCATCAAAGATTTGCTTAATGAAGGCACATTCGACTGCAGCGATTCCGGCATACAGGTTAGTGTTAAAAGCAATACATTTGACAAAAATGCCTTAAAATTTATTATATTTCATATTATAGCTACAAGCAATGGACAATTCCCACGTCTCACTTGTATCATTGACGTTGCGTTCCGATGGTTTTGATAAGTTCCGTTGCGATCGTAATCTTTCAATGGGTATGAATCTAGGCAGCATGGCAAAGATCTTGAAGTGTGCCAATAATGATGATACCGTAACAATTAAAGCACAGGACAACGCTGATACAGTAACATTTATGTTCGAATCACAAAATCAGGAGAAGGTGTCTGATTATGAAATGAAACTAATGAACTTGGATCAAGAACATTTGGGAATACCGGAAACAGACTACTCGTGTGTGGTACGCATGCCAGCAATGGAATTTGCACGCATCTGTCGTGATCTGGCGCAATTTAGTGAATCTGTGGTAATTTGCTGTACTAAGGAAGGTGTTAAATTTTCAGCATCCGGTGATGTTGGTTCAGCCAATGTTAAATTGGCTCAAACTTTCAACGTTGACAAAGAAGAAGAAGCAATTGTGATTGAAATGCAAGAACCAGTTGTATTAACATTCGCTTGTCGTTACCTAAATGCGTTTACAAAGGCGACGCCCTTGTCCAACCAAGTGCAGCTGTCTATGTCGGCTGATGTGCCACTAGTGGTTGAATATCGCATTGCTGAATTGGGTCATATACGCTACTATTTGGCGCCGAAAATTGAAGATGATGAGAATTAGATTGGTGGTGTTTGTATCTTTCGGTTTGATGTATTGCGTACGAGCTCTTGATATATCTCATATTTGTATTTGATATAAGCAACAATTAAATATTAACTAATTTTAAGTATAAAAGTATATCGATACGTTAGTGTATTGTTTACGTTCTAAAGCTATCTTAATATAGGCATTTAGTTTTGCACTCACAACATATAATTACTAGATACATATTTGCAAAATAAATTTGATTTGAGTATTGAGTACAAAAAGTATATGATCAGTCTATATTTTTTCTTTGAATTAGAAAAATGTAATTGGGACTTGTTCTGTGTCACAAAGGTTAAGTTTGTCAGTATGTTAAGCGGCCCGGCATATTCTAAAAATCTATATGGGACTAGTAGTAAAGGCTTCAAATATTAACCTCAATTGGACTGCGCAAAGATTAAAAAAAAAAAAATAGCACTTTCTGGTGCCCGAGACAAAAGAAACAAATTCCCAATTAAGATAGCTGTCGTGAAGTTTAATTGGATATATGAAATTTAAAATAAATTTAAATACATAATTATTTCCTTTAGAAACGTTCTTTTTATTTGTACTCAACAGTGAACAGTGACAATATGCTATAATAGTTCGATAATAAAATAAAATGCATACACAAAACCTAAATCTATTTTACATTAAATTTGCGATATGGAAAATGAATTTTTGCGAAATTTGTAAATAGAAATCCGCTGTCTTGCTTATTTACTCAACTATGTAATTTGGATGAACGACCAATAGTGGATCGTCGGGCTCTTCTGTTTCATCTTCAGGGCGCCTTGGGCTTTTGCCGTGTTGTCGCAATTCGGTTGTTTTTAATGGTATGATCACTTGATCATGGTAAATTAAGCGATCGATAACCTTTTCAATTAAATGTTTGCGTGAGATAAGCTCTTCTTCGGACTCAATTTGATCGGCAACTTGTTCCAAATACCACGTAACCACATCACTACGTTTCATACCGGAGTCGGTGCCCTCCGACTCACAGCGGGCTTCCTCATTTCGCATATGTAACACCAACATAGTGGATAGATTTTTGTAATCTTCAAAGGACAACGTAAGCTTTTTCTTTTGCAGACCGACAGCAGATGTATCAATGCCTACATTATCTTCAGCTATTGCGCCTTCAGTTGCAATTGTATTGGTAGCGCCATTGGCAACACCGCCGACATTTTCCATTTCCACATCGCCCACATAGGCGTCTTCATTGCCCTCATCATCGTCCAGGTGGATGTCAGGTTGTTCAACACGTATGATTGATTTGTTGAGTAGCCGGTAGGCTTCTTTAACGTGTCGCTCCTGAACTTCGTTCATACACTCCAGTTTGGCCATAGCTTCACTCAGCCGTATCATTGACTCCAGCTGACGTACTGTGATACGCCAAGTACTACGGCCTGCAACACCTGTATCGCGTTGACGCAAATGTCCATAGTTCTCAACGAGTAGTTTCATAGCATCCTGTCCAATAATTGGCTTAAATTGGCGTGCAAAAGTTATATAGCGCAGAACTTCTTCGCGTGTATACGCACATTCAACGGATTCCTCCATGTGCGAGTGTAAATCAACTATTTTCCGTGCAATAGCATAGTCCACCACCTCATTACATTCATCAACAAGTATGAAGAATAAATCGAAGCGAGACATAATGGGCGCTGATAGTTGGATATTTTGTTGCAAACTCTTTGTACGATCATAACGGCCGTTAATAGGATTTGCAGCCGCTAGAATTGAAGTGCGGGCATTTAAAGTTGCACGCACACCAGCTTTAGCCAGTGAAATTGTCTGCTGTTCCATGGCCTCGTGTATAGCCACTTGATCGCGTGGATCCATTTTATCAAATTCATCAATACAACAAATACCGTTGTCGGCCAACATAAGCGCACCAGCTTCGATTACAAAATCGAAACTTTCCTCATCACGAACCACAGCTGCGGTAAGACCAGCAGCTGAGGAAGCCTTGCCTGAAGTGTACACAGCGCGTGGCGAGAAATCTGCTACTTGTCGCAAAAATTGTGATTTTGCTGTACTAGGATCGCCAACGATGCAAACATTGATATCACCACGCAAGGTCGTTTCTGAAAATAAAACATAATATATATTTTTATTTAAAATTTCCTATGCATAATTCTTTCGTCATAGCTGTACTCACTTTCATGTGTAGTTTTTCCAACGCCACTGAATAGTTGCAGCAAAACACCTCGCTTCACTTCGTCATTACCGTAGATTGAAGGAAACAGACTGGTGATAAGATTGTTATACAAATTGCGATCTTTCGACATCTCGTACACTTTATTCCATTCGGCATCCGTCATTTGCTTCTTCATATCTTCTGCAGTGACTTCCGACATGGGCAGGTCCGTGCCACCAAAACGTGCTGTAGTGGTTTGCACACTGCAGGCTAGGAATGACATGCGATAGTTGAGTTCACGTGTGCCCAATTCCTTTAGGCCTGAAACACCTTCTGGACCATCGCCTGGCTTATGTCTCGAACCCATATCTGCTTTTGCACCAGGCATATTCAACACACCTACATCGGGCACAACAATCAATGTGCCTGTGAAATCATAACGATCACCGGCTTGCACGGTTTCCACTAATTCTGAACGTAAAATAATTTCTACCGAACGCGGTATACAACCGCGTGGCAATTCAGCCTGCGTTTCTTGTATACGTATTTTTTGAAAATCAACAAAAAGTGACTTTTCCACATCCAGCATGAATCGACGTCGATTACTGCAAACAGGATTACGACAAATGGTGGGATTGGTGAACTTAAACTGTTGTTCTACATTGCGAATTTCAGTTTGACAGTCCATACACATAAATGTACCGGTTACAAGTTCCGGATGCACTGGATGTGTACGTACAACTTGACCGGAAATACGAATCAAAGTGCCGATTTTAGAGGTAGTCAAATCTCGTACTTTGTGGCGTGTAGGCACATCTGTGAATGAAATGTAACATTCCTTTTCGTTTTTCAGACCGCAGCGATCTTTAACGAAATTGGAAACCGATTGGCAGAGAAAAGGATAAATGCTGTGTAAAAAAAAAGAAAATTAATATAACTTATATGCGAGTTATTGCACACACAAAACATACCGATAGTATTCTTCAATAATTGTAGTCGCTAAATTTTGATTATACTTTTCCACATCATCAAAAGACACTTCTAATGTGTAGCGATCTGGCGATTCCAAATCTGCGGCGGGTTTAACATACTTAATTTCACCATCTTCCTTGAATCTAAAGCAAAATTGTGAGATAGTTTTTAGCATCCTTTTTCAATTAGCTTACTCTTCCAAAAAATCCTGAAACAATTTCTGACAACGTAGGCCAACTTCATCTTTTACACGTAATTGTCCAATTTGTGCATCAGCTACATCCATGACTGCAGTTTAATTTGCGGATTATTTGTTTAAATACCTGCTTATTTTAATTCTTTTTTAAACAATATACTAAACACGCGAACAATTCTTTGCACTGCAATGGATTGTTGATTTAGCATTTGACAGTGATGGCATTTGTTTTGGCGCGCACAGGCGGACGCTGAAAGCACTGCTCGCTATTTACTTAAATTGGCCGCACTGGTGACTTTGGCGGAAGTCGGCGACAATTGAATTCAAAGTGTTAATGAGAAAAAACGAAAGAAATAAAAAATGTGTTGAGAAATTAAATTTAACAGAAAATTAAACATTTGGTTAGAACTTTAATTAGTTGCATTAATGTTTTAAACGTTGATCTGAAGTATTGAAGTATTTCCGCCCTGGCAAACGGAAGTCGGAAGTGAAAATTCTTAGTGAAAAATAATTCAATAAGCAAAAATGTACATTCGAAGGACGAATCTAGTAAGATTTTGTCTAATAGTTCTTCTTTATTTTATGATTATAATAAAGTGCTGAGTTTATGATGATGTTTCGTCTGTATGCCTGCCTGCATTTACAAGGTTAATGTTGTCAGTGATTAATTTTGAAGGTTAGTAAATATTTATTTTTTATTAGTGCCATTAATTTTTTAGGATTTTTCTTTTTTAGTGACTAGACAATTAAATGAAAAATAGCACGATACAAAGTTATAGATTTGAAAGTTTTTCTGCTTTGCCGTAGAAGGAAGGAGTTCTTTAGGTAAGACGATAGTAATAATCAAAGGCTTAAAACTAATATAGGGTCAGAAACAGTTAATCAGCAGCTCAGAAGTTTTGGATCCGAAGGAAAGCCATGTTAGATAAGTTTCTTGAAGAGATTAGCTACGTCCTACACGGCTTCATAGCATAATGAATGCACATGTGGCTTGCTTGCGCGTGAAAATCCCTCAGTTTTCCAAGAAAGTATAAAAATTATTGTCATATATTGTATACGAAAAGAAATTTGCAGTTCATTAAATCAACCCACGCTAACATAAATGGTTGTATGTGGGTACATATAAATGGAAATGTGCTTTACTATTTATGTTTGTTATCCTCTACACCTTAAGCGCGTGTAAACTTTTTTGTTAATTAACACTTATAAATCATATGTACAGCGATTTAACCACATATTTATATATGTTTGTATGTTCAAATGTGCCACAGATATCGTATAACAAATTAAATGATTTTTAATGACCATAAACTCAGGAATTCCGCTTACAAACTCATGGAGCAACTTATTTGACTAATAAAATAAAGGATAACGGTGATGTATAAATTTATGTATGTTATTATCTGATTTTTTATTACAATTGGTTTCTTTATTACTACAATAAAAAGGAGATCATAAATGTTTGTATGTACATACATACGTACCTTGTATGAGCCTTCGAATTCTATTTTTGCTCTAGACACCCATGTAAGAATGTATGATTTTGAATGTAACTTGATTACTCAGAGCCAAAGATTTTTAAGGCGCAGTTTGATCCTCTCTCCTCAAAAGTTCTTTCCACTCCAAAGAGGCACCGGATAAAGGTGAGGTGTACAAGACTCTTTACGAATGGTTCCGAGTAGTATATAGAGTGGAAGGAGCATAATAATACGTGTATGCTGTGTAAGCAATAACTGCTGGGATGCCACTACAGTCCGTATCATTCCAACAGAAGCTGGGATCATTCAACCCAGACACATCAGTAAAATGGTACTTGCATATAACGATTTCATACAGAAATTTAGACATATAATGAAATCGCGAATGACGTTCTCGGAATCCAAACACCAGCCATTCTAGACAAAGAGCTCTAGCTGCTTAGAGATAACGGAGTAATATGCTTTTGCAAAAATTCTTGAAGTAAATGATATGTCCATTTGACCACCTGTCCATCTGTTCTTAATGTTGTGGTTATTATTATTATTATTTTAGAGGCTACGACGATTACAAGCAGTTGAGACCAGTATAACCCACCGAGATCATCTAACGGCAGACACAAGAAACGAGCTGTTCCACCTGGCACTGGCTAAACCTAAGTCTGAATATTATAACAGCTTGAGCTCCTTATTAGCCAGATTCGACCCCAACGTATGCCCTGCATGTGGAGAGTCTCCGAACGACAGCAACCACCTCTTCACATGCCGCCTTAAACCGACACAACTAATCCCCCTCTCCCTCTGGTCCGATTACGCCGAAACAACACATTTCCTGGAACACCCGTTAGATGGTAAGTTAGATAAATTAACCTGTTTTTAAGCCGGGTTAACGAAGCCGTACAACAACAACAACAACAATGTGTTCAGACAGCGAAAGCGAAGAGTGATTGGATGATTGCATATAAAGAGATGGATAAGAGGTATTTAAGTCGATTCTACTCACCGGAGTTGACACGGACAATCTCCGTCCAAGGCCTGTCACCGGTTCGGCGACAAACCCCGGTTTAGGTCATCAGATAGTTCTAACCTATCCGTCTGTCTGTGCGTCTATATGAAAGCACACTCGTTCCTCGGCTTTTCAGACAATTTAACCAAACTTGCTCTCGGAAAGGGCGAAATCAAATCACTGCAAAAATATAGCGCCGATACCAATAGGCTGTTGTTTTTCTTAGAACAAAAACAAAACAGCATTCAGGAGAACAAACTGCATTTACCCCCGAGCACAGTGGAGCCATGCAAAAAAAAAAAAATTATAATAAAAAATTAAAAAAAAAATAGTCAAATAGCAACCCCTAAAAGCTTGCCAAGGGAATATACAAGAAAAATCATAAGTAAAAGCACAAATCACAACAATACAAAAGTACAATCCAGGGACTAAGTAAGTAGTGGGAATGGGCACGGGTAGAGCAGACTCTAAATTAATAAGTTCACGCGTGGGAACCATTCACGAAGTGTTGAAATAACGTCAACGAGCATTCTAAAGGTGTACATAAGCGCCGCCTTCCGAACCTTGTGTACAAGAAAAAAAAAAAATACAGAAATTGTTGTTGTTACTACTGTTGGTGTGTGTGTGTGTGTGTGCTTATGCGCATTTGTCGGTGGTTATTGTGTGGTGCGTAGGTGTCCCGGCGAGCAAGTAAGAAAGCAACCAAAAGTAATAACAACATCAAAAATCTCGAACAACAACAACAACAAGCTAAAACACAAACCCGCACACAAAAACACACATACATGCATGCATATATATATATATATATGTATATGTACAAAAACAAATACAAATCTTCCAGTATTGACGAATGAGATTCAAGTGTTGGAAGGACCAAAACAATGACGTCATTAGTAAGACCATTAATGTTAACTGTTAAAAAAAGGCAGAAAGAAGCAGAAAATTAGAATTGAAAGAATATTAAAAAAAATTTCAAATATTTTGAAAAATATATGCAACCAATATTTGTAATGCAAATTCCTTAAAAGTTTTCTATACGGACCCATATATGTACAATAAATACATGACAAGACATGCATGCCTCTCTGTAACTCAAATGTATGTATGCGTCCTATATACCTCCAACTAAGTTCCTTTTGTAATACTGCTTACAGGTGGCTACTTGAAAATAACAGCAAAAATATGATAACAGAATTATTGTTGCTGTTTAGTATGCAAAGAAAGGCAATAATTTAAGCAAAAATATCGCATGCGATTTTTTATTTATAGCATTTTTCATAATCGCCCATAGAATTAAAAAACTGCGGTCGTTTTTTCTCTCATGACATTTTTAAAGTAAAAATTTAAGTGTCAGTTGTCAAAAATGATTAAAATTTAGTAGCATGATACAAAAAATAAGGTAATTTCACGCAAATTAAAAGTTTTTTTTTTGACTTTTGCTTAAATTCGTGCTACCAATTTAATTTTGTATTTTTTCAATACATTTTCAACTTTCTAAAATTAAAAAATTATTTCTAAAAATTGCAAAAGCTTTCAAAAAAGTAAAGAAAAAAAAAACGTACCCATGAAAAACTGAAATCGAATGGAAATAAAATTATTTTCAGAAATTCCAAAAATTCCAATTAATGTTATAAAAAATATCGCATGCGATAAATAAAAGAAAAGTTTCATATTAATTTGAAAATTTCTCAATTTATACATATATTTGGGGTAGGAGTTTGGCAGAAAGCAGCAATTATATATTACATATATAGATTAGGCTATAAGGATGGCTGGTGGTGAAAATTTTATTCGATTATGGTATTTGATTTTTAAACTTCTTTTAGCCATGTTCTAGATGAGTTCGGACAGAGACAGAGGTAATGATTCGACGTTTGCCTCATGCCTGCAGCCTTACACTTCTAAGATGTGCCACTGACAGTGGCTATAATTCTGTTGGCTTCTGCTTAGGCTGTCAATAGGTTATGGGCTACAACTCTCCTGCAGTCCTTTCTAAACCGCGTGCCCAGAAAATGGATATGCTTTCCTTCATAGCAATTATATAACTTGATTTTGGTGTTCTTGCAGGACTTCCCTCTCAAACAAATCCGACTAAAAGTTCTCACAGACTTACCAGCGTGGCTTGTGGCTTGAAACGCCGTAGATATGCAGTTTTTTTGCCTGCGATATTGCTCGTGGCTAGGTTAATGACTCTCCTTACCTGCGGAACTACTGGTCTATTTCACCTTCTTCTCGATTTCACACTGAGGGGTCTTGCTGCAAGCTAGTCTCTGCAGTCAGCACCTCAGGTGGCAGACTCTTTCCATGCTGTTCCTAGACTTTTTACGTTTGCTTCATTACAGATTTTGTTGATGGCTCCTCGTATGTGCTTTTATATGCAAAATAAATACAAGCTTTTCTCTAGGGTCTGCCGAATGTTAACAAAAGAACTCAGCGTAACTTTGTTCGGAAACAAAAAAAACAAAGAAGAACGCTTTGTGTCGCCCACAATCTAATATAGTAAATGGAAAAATTCATAGCAACTCAAAAAAAAAACATTTTTTTTTAAACATTATTCGATTAGCTATACCCAAAAAAGCAGTTTTTCAGCCAAAACTCTATTACAGCCTACATTTAGGCGACAAACAACTAGTGTCTAGGGCTTAGACTTTTAAGTAAACGCAGATATCGCAATTAAAAACGCGTGGGGAGCGTGTAATTTTTTTTGCTGTTGTGTGATGTTAATTGAAAAACTTTCAATTGCTTTCATTCGCAACTGCCAAA